AAGATCCAGTCGTTCCAGGTGAAGGGGACGCGCATGGTTCAGTTGTTACAGATCACACAGTCCAGATCGAGGGTGGCGGTTTCGTGCCAGAAGTGGCTGAGGACGATGGTGTCGGTTTGGGGCCACTACAGGGATGGGTGGAAGGAGACCTACTAGATCCCGGCGCAGAAGAACCTGTTCGTGAAGACCGTTCACTCCCAGCTGGAATGACGAATGAGGAGTTTCAACAGGTGTTCAACGAAGTCGAGGGCATTGAGGGCTACCAAGTGATGTATGCGGCTCACCCTTTGAGGTCAAGAACCACTCGCGACGTGTTGGCGGCTGTCCAAGATGTGTATCTGCGTTTTAGAGCTCAGGGTTTTCCCATCAACAGAGTTCATGCTGACAGAGCCCGGGAACTACGAAGTGATCCGTTGAGGCGATGGCTGATGGACAGAGGAACCTATGTGACGTACACGGAGGGCCAAAGTCCACAGGCAAATGGACGAGCCGAGGCCGCTGTGAAATATGCCAAAACCCAAACGAAGAGGCTCCTTAAGACTGGCAACTTCGCACCAAGGTTGTGGCCTATGGCAATGAGATATGCTATGTGGGCACAGTCGCAAAAGCAAGTCTACCCCCACAAGGCGTTGATTCCCTTCGGTACCCGGGTCCATGTGAAGAAGAAGGTGTATGGTGTCGGTGGCAAGTTTGACCTACAGTCTAAGTGGGGTCAAGGCTTTTACATGGGGCCAAGTGCTGATGTGAATGATGGAAGTGTTGTCATGATGGACAAGGGAACCTTCATTACAACTTGCCATATGAGACCTGGTCTGGTGGATGCGGACAAGGAAGTGGAGCTTGAGGACTATCATGCCATTGTTCCTCTGCCACACAAGAGGTTGCGGAGGAAGTCCACGTTGAATCCTGCAGACTATGAGGGCCTCGAACTACAACCACTACGCCAAGAACCCGAGGAAGCTGAAGAAGCTGACCTGTATGATCCAAACCACCCGGCGGAAGAGTTTGCAAGGGCGGTGCTTTTTGAAGATGTTATCCTGAGAGACTATGTGGAGACCCTTGCAAACCTTCTACCGTCAGGAGGCGCCAAGCCGAAGAGGTTTGGAGAGCAACACAAGGATGAGCTTGTGTGGTCCTCGGGAGCCTACGTGTTCAGCGGCATTGTTGGGGTTGCAGGCAGTACCTCCTTGTTCCCTCGAACTACAAAGGTGTTTTGTGAATATTTGAGGACTCAGTGCCCAGAGGCGCGGTTCAACAGCATCGCGGTCTTTAAGAACATTCAAGCCAAGAGACACAAGGATGCGCACAATGTTGGCAGGAATGTGGCCGTGCCGCTGTCGGATTTCAAGGGCACAGACATTATTGTCAGCCGAGGAGGAGAACGTGTGGTGTTGAAGGTAAGTGACGGTCCTCAATTCTTTGATCCACATGAAGAGCACGAAACTACCCCATGTTCGGAGGGAACAAGTTGGGTTTTGGTGGGATATTCGATTCGAGACAGCGAGAAGCTCAAGGATGATGACGTGAAGTACTTGGAATCCCTGGGATTTACTTGGGAGCCTCATCGAGCAAGGGAACAGTTGGATGCCTCAGCTGTGAACCCTAGATTGGCGGGATTGAGAAAAGCCGAAGTCAAGGACAAGTCGTCATCGAGCAATGATCTGGAAACAATGGATGTTGCCAAGAGTGATTTGGACCTGGTCATTCAGGACTTGGAGGAACGTGCTGTTCGCCTACGGGAACTTCTTGAGGAGGAGGAAATTATGGCTGAGCAGGCAACTCGCCTTGGACAGGGTGTTCGGGAGGAGTTAGCAGATACAAGGGACTATGTTTGCAAGTACCTGGACGATGTTCATCGCCAACTGATGCAATTTCAGCGTCTTCGTGAGGGTGTTTTCTTGAGATCTGCGCGGCAGGTGGCGGAGGAAGACAGCGCGATTGACTACGAGAAGTTGCTTGAAGAGTTGGAGGGTGACCTGGATATTGTACACACGGTCCCTCTGGACCAGGTGAAGACTGTACTCCAGAGATGGGAGAAGGCCATCGAGAAAGAGGTCGGGGCGTTATTCAGTTCAGGAACCCTGACAAAGATATCGTATGATGAAGCCAAGGCTCTCGAGAAGAGAGGCGACTTGAGAATTATACCATCCAAGTGCGTGTTCACGCTCAAGCCCCCGAATGCGAAAGGTGAGAAATGTCGTCGCAAGTGTCGGTTAGTGATATGTGGAAATTATATCACTAAAGAGGGCGCCGAGGACCAAGCAAGCCTTTACGCGGCAGGCACCAGCACGGACGCCTTGAGACTGGCTCTGGCGGTTGCATCCTCGAGATTGTGGCTAGCAGCTATTGCTGACATTACGTCAGCGTTTCTATTAGCCGAATGGCCACCAGGGATGCCCAAGTACGCTATCATGCAGCCTCGAGTCATACGAGACAGTGGAGACTATGGGAGCGAGTTGTGGCTGGTGCAGAGGCCACTCTATGGCCTAAGGGAGAGTCCTGTGATTTGGTCCGAGTTCCGCAACATGAAGCTCAAGCAACTACAGATTATGCATCAAGGGAGGCGACTTCGTTTATTCCAAGCCGTGTCCGAATCTGAGTTGTGGTTCTTGAGGGACGAGTTGACCAACGAGCTCTACGGATTACTGGTCGTCTATGTGGATGACCTGATGTACCTGGCAGAGAAAACGGTCATTGAAGAGTTCCACAAGGCCATCCGAGCTCTATGGCCTACTTCAGCTCTGGAGTGGATTGATGATACCAAGGCAGTTCGGTACTTGGGCGTGGAAATCAAGCAGGACCCCAGCAGCAGAGCATTCAGCATAAGCCAGCAAGCATACATTGCAGAACTACTACGCGCGCACAACATGCAGAACGCTGCGCACACACAGCTGCCGATGCCCCGCGAATGGCTGGAGAATCTGGAGCTGGGAAAGGACGACGAGCCGTCGTTCACTGAGGCTGACCTAAGGCAAGGCCAGCGTGTGGTGGGAGAGGCCCTTTGGCTGGCCACGAAAACGCGGCCGGATATCCTGTACACGGTCAATGCTATGGCATCACATGTGGCTCGAAGGCCTCTGCAAATCGCCCGCATAGGCGAGCGACTGCTAGCCTATTTGGCGGGCACTGCAGACATGGCTTTGGTGCTACGTCCACCAGGGGCTGAAGAGCGCTCTACGATGACGTGCTTTACAGATGCGAGCTTTGCTCCTTTTGGTTCGCGAAGCTACGGAGCAACGGTGGTGCTGTACGGCCAGGCTGCAGTAGCGTGGAAGGCTGGAAAACAGTCTTTCGTTACCATGAGCACCATGGAGGCAGAGTTATATGCTGCAGCGCAGGGATATGTGCTTTTGGAATCGGTGGCCTCGATCCTTAAGGAGATTGCAGTTGGGCCATTCGACCAAGTGTTGGCCATCGACAACTCAAGTGCCGCGGCTATGTGTGCAGGCGGCCCAGGCAGTCAGCGTACGCGACATCTTAAGGTGCGTGCCAGTTATATTCGTGAAGCAGTTGAGGCTGGACGTTTGACTGTGAAGCACACTCCCGGGGATGATCAGCTAGCTGATTTGGCTACAAAGTTGGTGACGAAGGATCGCTTGTGGAAGTTGCTGGATCTTTGGGGTTTTGTGGGTGGCAAGCTGGCTAGGACTGTGGACGCGATAAAGATGAAGATGATGCTTTTCGTGATGATGATTGTGTCTATGGTTCGGCCTTCGGCAGGAGCTTCTACAGAGCAAAAGGAGGCAATACAGGTCTCTGGAATGGATGAGTTGCTCATCGTGACAGGGCTTGTTTGTGTTTCTGCAATTGTGTTCTGGGAAGTTCTGAAGATGGTGATTAAGTAGTGTGTGAGGAAGTATAAGGGGTCAAAGAAGGCAAGGAAGCTCGACAACATCCGTCGACTGGCGGCTGCTGCGGCGGACAGAGAAGTTCGCGAGGCAGAACAGTTTGTCGGGTCAAATGATGAACGGATATCGACCTCGAGTTCCAGAACCAGGCCAAGGACCCCTGAACAGCTCGTACGACGTAGGAATCAAGAGGTGGGTTTTTCAAGACGGACGCCAACCCCACCGAGAAGATCCTCAACACAGACAGCGAGGCAAGATTACGACGAAAGGGAGTCGGAACCTTCGCCGAGCTACCCAGCGAACCCGCGGCCTCTCTCAGACAGGCCCCGGGTGATCAGAGACATGCTGAGCTTGATGACAACTGAGGCTCTCAAGGAGGGCCTGAGGTGCACTGGTAATCCTGTGAGCGGAATTAAGGCGGACCTAGTCGCGCGACTGGGAGCAGAGCTTGGACAGCAGGAACCGGGACCATCGAGCTATCAGCCTACCACTCGACAGTTACGGTACGTTCTGTGGATTTGGAAGAACAAGGACCTAACTGGAAGGTGTGCTCTGAAGTGGGAAGACGTGGCAAGCCGTTCATCCATTTCAAAGTGGATTGCACAGTGGAAGGACTAGAATTTACAAGTCATGACAGCCTCTTTGTAAAGATGCTTGTGTCCCGGAGGTCGCAAGCAAGGAGGAGTGCAGAATGTGCATGCTGTCATGATGTGTTTGGCCCTAGATGTGTGAAGCTCTAGGCGTCGTTGCAGGACTTTGCGCAATAGCATAACTTGCAGTCTTTCACAATAGGCGAGCACACTTGTACATCACAGCTTCTGCCGGTGTGAAAAATTCGGAAGTCACTTAAGCCCTTGCTCCCATGGTTTGGCTGTGACTAAGCCTCCAGAGGATTTTCAG